CAGAACATCCCAAAAGTCTCAATGCTTTTTTTAAAATTTTAATTAAAAAAAAAAAGTATTAAAGCTTAAAACAGCACTGAGACTTTTGAAACACTCTGTGTGTGTGTGTAATGAATAGCATGCATCATGAATATACTCACCTAGAAATGCAACCTCAGAATCACCATTGACTCTTCAATCTCCCTCACCCTCCTTTACCCCATACCCAACTAACTGCCAAGTCTTGTGATTCTACTTCTGCAATGTCTCTCATGTATCTTTCTCTCCATTCACATGGGTACCAAACTAGTTTAATCCCTCATCATTCCTCACTTCTTTGTCTGTTCCAGTAGTCTCCTAATTGGTCTCTGCTTCCAGTCTCTCCCCTTTCCCGTCCATCAGCATAAGCCCAATTGTCATTCTCTTTTCAAGAGTGTTGTTGGCTCCTATTGCTTCTAGGATGAAATGCATACTCTTCAGCTTGGCACTTGAGGTCCTCACAGTCTGGCCACAGCCTGCCTTTCTCGTCTTTGTCCACATCACTCACTTCACACCCTCCATTTCAGTCAAACTCATGTACTTGTTGTTCTTTATATTTGGTATTCTACTTCCTACCTTTTTGCCTTAACATAGAAGGGTTCCACATTCCTAGAATGTTCTCACTCTCTCGTCACCCCTACCCTTGGAATCCTTAGCATATTTCAAAGTCTTAACTCAGATACTGCATCCTATAGAAAACCTTTCTGTTCTCTCTCCCTCCTCAGATTATATTGCATGTAGTTACCTATTGGTAACATTGTATTCCCTGTAAAATATTTGCTCCTTAAAGTCAAGGACTATTTTTTGCCTTATTTTTGTGTATCTAGCATCTAACACAGTTTAGTGCCTAGAATATAATAGATGTTTAGTAAATACTATGAATGAATTATCTCTCCTCAAATTATATTGTATTTATCTGTTTACTGTTTTACTCATTTCCCCACTCTTAACCCCTAAGGGAATGTGTTTGGAGGGAAGCTACAGAATATGTCAGCTTCTTAAGGTCAGGAGTAATTTTTTGTCTTGTCTTTTTATCTATCAGGATGTCTAAATATAAAGAGGAACTTAATAAAATGTTTACTAAATAAAGACAAAATGAATGAGGCATATGTATAGTCTATAAGCTTTAGTTTCATTCGTTACTTAATTCTTGAGCCATATTTTTTTTGTCCTTCCCTCAGTCTACTTTTATATTGAAGTCACAGTATATGTTGATTTAATTTGGAATATATTTTCAAGTTTGTCCTAGAATTTACTACCTCTTCAGCCTTAGCAATAATCTAACTGGAAGATGAATAAAAAAGAGTGAATTAAAAATGTTCAGACTAAGTTGAAAAGACTATTAGTAAGTGGATAGAATTAATAAGAGGAACCAAAAATAGAGATGAAAAATATCTAGTGATTAGCTGAAGGGATCAGTGTTTGGGATTTTTTTCTCAAATTAGAAACACTTAAAGTCTTCCTTGAGCTTTCTCTCTGAACCAAGAATTTAATGTCAAAATCTTTAATAAAGTTAGTTCAGGAAGGAAAAGAAGCTAATTAATGCAGTCAATGGTCCTGTATATTTTTTATCTAATTGTTAAATATTCAGTTATTTTAATGATATTAATAAATTGCATCACTACTATAGGAAATCAGAGAATGCTAGTTATTGCTTAGTATCTAAGAGAATGCCTTGTGTATATACCAAATGCTAATTAATAAGTATTTGTTGAACTGAATTGAAGTTTGCTTATGTCAGGTTTCTATCCTATCCTGTTTTGAGGTATTGGAATTTCATGAGATCACTGATCTTTTCTGGTCATTTTCCACTGAGTCTCTTCAATTCTTGTACTTTTTTTCTAGCACAAATGGATCGTAATTTTTAAAAATACCCAGAATGAGCACATGCTTTTGTATAACCTATGTCATGATTGTGACAAAAAATTATGAAATATTTGTTACCTATTTTTATGATAACACATGGGATTTTGATAAGAGTTATCTCGAGGGTGTCATATTTTGATCCATTAATTGTATCCAATTCTTATCTTAATTGTCAATACATTAATGAACTGTGATTTCTTCTGAATGTGAGTTACCAGTGTGAGAACTCCTTCCAATTCAGATCTCATACTGTGTAGTTTTAGTACATTCCCTATGGCTTAGAGGTTAAGTTACTTGCTCATGGGCACATAGCTGTTGCATCAGAGGTAGAATTGGAACTCTACTCTCTCAGGTTCCAAATCTAACACTCCATCTACTACACCATGTTGCTTCTCAATTATCATAAAATATATGTTCATAAAAAATGTAACTTGTTTCTTTGAAAAATGTTGATTAAAAACTTGAAATTATTGAACATTTAATTGATTACAATATAATTGTTAAAGAGGACCTCTCACTAGAAAATTCCTTAGTTGATTCAGAAGCAGAATGTTTAGAAAAATCTCTGCCCTCATTTACATAGAGCAAGGACTCCCCATTCATATTTCTTGATTTCCTAAATTTATTTTTTTGTTTGATTTTACTTTTACTCATTCCATCTCCAACTTGTCTCCATCCTAAGCCCATGTTTCCTACCCTTATCCTAATTTCTTTGTTTTCTAGTTCCATTCAATTTTTGTCATCACAAGGCCCTTCCCCTTGCTCTTAAACCCCTCCCCCCCAAATCCTTCAACATAATTTACAGGTATGCAATGTAAGAGACAAGTGGTCCTGGAGAGTATGGCTGAGAGATGCTAGTGAAACAGATAACTTTGAACAGTATGGGTAGCCATAAGTTGTCCTAGGGCCTCTAGTAGTACATAAAAAGCAAGGCTGAGGCAGAGTGAATAAAAGACTGAAAAGCTGAACTGTTTATATTTATCTAATCCCTGGCAACCAAATATGTTATATTATGCAGTAAAGGATTTTCTGCATGCACACAGCCTGTTAATTCATCTACTCAAGAATCTGGCCAGGTAGATCCAAAATGGGTACAGTTGCACGGAGTTTAATGGAGCATCAGATCAGATAGTGCTAGGATGGAAAATGTTTTGGTATGAGAGGAGCCAGAGAGGTAGACCAGAGTTTTTCCATCAGTGATAGTGCCAAGAAGGAGATAGTTTTTTCAAGTTTGCAGAATTATATAGAATTCAACTTCTTTTCTATTGCCCTAATCAGGCACCTTTCATATTAGACAGCTATAACCTACAGATGGTTTTTCTATCTGGTATTGTTAAATTTAGTGGAATTAACAAAATCTCCCCCCCCCCAACCTTTATTTTACTGACCTTGGCCGTCATGATAATAGAGACACATATGTTATTAACAACAAAGGCTATCAACTCTCATGTTCAAAAATTTTAGAATGTTTTTTGGAGCAGCAAAAAGCACATGTTGTTATCCTGTAACAGAGTTGATTACTTTATGTATGTATGTTGAAGGGCCATTAGTTAGAAAATAAAAATTACATAAAATGAGAAAGTACTTCGTGAGTTAGATTTAGATTCCCCATTGCCAGAATGTTTTATTAAATAATATTGAATTTGTTTTTCATGTTCTGAATGTCAATGTGATTCAATAAAAAATGTTTAAAAAAAAGAATAAGCTAGTATACAACTTAATAATTAACAAGAAGCATTAAATCACAGTACTAGTCTATACCTTTAAAAATAATATTGGTGTTGCAGGTAAATTTTTTACAGTTATAGCACTGTGTTGATAACCAACATTGATTTTAAATTTTTGACATTATAGAAGCATAAGAGACTGAAATTTCAGATGTGGAAATACTGCTGAGGCAGCATTAACAGAGAATTGAATTAACATTAAGTAGTGTTCAGTGAGAGAAGATGTGCATATGTAGACTTTATAGAAAATCAAAAAGGAGGTATTTTTATTCAGAATGTCAACAAACATTTTGGTATCTAAAGTATAGTTTGTTATAATCTCTATCAGATAATGAAAGGCATTCAGGATTCTTCCATTTTTTAAAAAATGCAGTATTGCATTTTTCTAGAAATACTTTATAGAAATTGTTAACAGGTGATAGCCAAATTTATTCAGAAAAATTATTCATTTCCATTGATATGAGAAAAATTTGGAAAGTAAAAGACATTTGATGCAAAGTAATAGTGAAAACATGACGATGAAATTCAAGGCTGCTATTTATTGTGTTTTACTATAATTTTTCATTAAGCATTCTCTCAATCACTATTTCAAATTAAGGTCAATAGTGTTAGTAGATTAAACCCTTTTGTGTATTCCTTTTATTCCAAACTATTATTTTCTACTCCCTTTATCTTGCCTGCCACTGATGAATTCTTTATACCAATCCACTCTTTATTTTCAGAAATCATTTATTGTTCATAGAAATAACATTCTTTAGAAAGAAGTTAAAGTGTAATAGTTTATCAACATAAAATAATATATTAGAAACCAAAATGATATTGATAGACTCTGAAGCAGAAGACTTTTGTGTGTATCGGAGTCTGCAAGGAATTACAAGATCATAGTGTGAAAGCAGGGTAGTTAAATTGGATATAAAACGAAAGAACTCTGACAAGTCAAAGAAAGATTGGTTTCTTTTCTGATGTACAATCCACTGAAAATTAGTGGATGTTAGTCCTTAAGTAGCTAACAGTGAACCCCAGGTATCATCTTCCCTGAAGCACAAAAATAGGAAGTCTAAGAAACTTGTAAAAGATGTCCTCAGGGATTCCTCCCTTTTTTCACTATGATCCCTCTAATCCTTGAATTGTCAAACCACATGGAAAATAATAGGGCTTCATCGTTCTAAGACTTAAATAGTATTGTGTTTAAAAGAAAATGTGAGGTTTTTCCATATTTCTAGATAAGGCTAGACTGTTTTCAGTTGTGTAAAAAAAAAAGTCCAAATAAGAAATAAGTTTGTGTTTCTTTTTTGATGTAATATTATCATCCCTGACTAAGCAGGCTGCACTCAATTAAAAAAAAAAAAGAAATTACAGCCAATATTTTATTTTCCCATTTGGAAACAGATGATTCAACGAGAAGCAGATGTAAAAAATAAGGTAACTGCTGTGGCGTTGACAGACTCTGTTCACAATGTGTGGCATCAAGAAGCTGGCAAAACGATTCGGGAATGGATGAGAGAGGTGAGACTAAATTTTTTTAAGTACTGAGATGAATTAAGTAGGTGTGAGTCTTTCCATCTCAAGCCCCTGCCTCCTACCACCCTCCCTGCAGCCTCCATTACTATGGACAGAACATTCAGACTTTAGAGGAAACAGCAAAGCACAGATATGATTGAAATAATCACAGAACACCTTATTTTGAAGGACAGGCAATTTTTCAAAAGCCCATTTGTTTTTCTTCCCTTTATAAAATTATGCATGCATATAAAAAGAATGAGAACTATGGTTGAAGAAGGTCTCACTGTTAGATTTTTTTTTTAACCCCTGATGCTTAATTTTGGCACCAGCTGTTAAGCATAGTGCCACTTAATTGCAAGGAAGAGGCTTAATGTAAGCTCTATGTCATCCCTTTCTTACTGAAAAGGAGGTCAGTGTATGCCACTCCTAAATGGATTGGCTGGCCACTGCCAGTAGGGGGAGAAGATGTAATAAGCAGGAGTGGGTATAAGCCAGACCCCAGAGCTCAGAAGAACACAGGGACTGGCCATGGTCCAGCCTCTGGCTAAGAAAGCTTTTTTTCACTACTTCTAAGGGTAAATGAACCTGAAAACTAGTTTGAACTCATTGAACATGCCCTGTTTTCTCAACTTTCATCCCATTATTTCCCTTTATGCTATTACAGGTGTCTGACTGAAAAAATACATTTTCCTTATTTGTATTTACCTTTTTGGATATCACACCTAATTGGCATGCCCTGTTCACACCCTCAACTATATTTCTATTAAATCATTTGCGTCTTTAATCATTTGATATTCCTGGATTTCCTCCAGTTTGCTTACATTCTGATAATAAGGCAACCAAAACTTGATTCAGCCAGCCCTCTACCATGAGAAATGTACAGTGAAGAGGTATGCCAGTTATGTTGTGCCGTGAGCACCAAAGAGATAACAAATAGAGCTATCTTTCAGTTCTTAAAAGAAATTTGCCATATAATTCCATAGTTTTACAGTATTACAGTAACTATATTACAGTAACTATAAGTGTTATTATTATTTTATATCAGAAAACTTGGTCTTACTCTTCAGCAAATAAACTTATGCTAGTATATTTTTTTTTCCGCTTTCCTCCTATACTGCAAAGCTATATAATTTTCTCCCTACTCTAACATCCAGGTGTCTTTCAGCATTATTGTTTTTCCATATCTCTCTGCCATTAAGTAGCTCTGTTCCTAATTGATTTTTCCCTGGTTCCCTGGATTTTTTTCCAAAGGGTCATCTTATTTTTTGTTTGGATATGTGTTATTTCTCTCTTCTCATTGTACATTTCCCAATATAGTTTCAGTAATGAAGTTAGTAGCCCCTCTTCCTCATTGATAACAAATTATATCAAACCTCATATACCTAATAGATTTTCACTTTCCCCAAATATGGAATGTCACTGTTTACCTTTTTCTTTATTGAGACTTCTCATTCCAAGCAACAAATCTTATATCACAAGCAATTGAATGAATACTTTGATTATTATTTGAGACAATCAAGTATCCGATTCACATTTCAGAATATTACCCTACATTCCTTCATTTGAGTTACTGAAAGAGTTGATCAGGGGATTTGCCATATTTAATCAGGGTTCCCACCAATATTTTTCCCAAAAAAGCTATATTTTTTAATCTATAAAAACCTAAGTTTTTATGTAGGTCCCCTTCTTTTTTCCTGTCACTCTTCCCACAGCATAAAAGTAGGAAAGACATGGTTTGTGTTTTCTCCTTATTTTAGGAGATGGTGTGGTTGTCTTAGACCTTATTTTGCCACTGGCTAGCTATGATCATCAACAAATATCAAATGATCACATCGGTGATAAGGGAGATAAAAAATATAATCCAGGCAAATCACTGCTTCTCTCTGAGCCTTGGCTTCCTACCTTACCTGCCTTCCAAGGTGCTTCTTGAAACCAAATGAGAAGATAAATATGAAGCATTTCAAAATGTCTAAGTCTTTATACAAATATAATATATTATTGTTATTAAAACATATATTCAAATCTCCTTAGGATTGGTTCACTCTATACTAGTACAGGTCATTATCCATCCATATCATTTCATTCCACGAGATTTTCATCTAGCTCCTTCTTCTTTTGGTATTTTATCTTCAAGTTTTTTATGATTTTTGTATTTCATAGAGAAGATTTTTGTATGAAAAAATTAATCATAACACTTAGTATTTATGTAGTTTTAAGATTTGCAAATTGCTTTACACAGGTTATCTCATTTGAAACTCAGGCTGTCCATTTATTTCCAGATCTTACTATATGACCAAATCATCTTTTTTTTTCTGGCAATATATGTCCCAGATTATGTCTTTTCTGCTTCTTGAGGCAAAGTATCATTGGTCATATAATACAGTCCGATTAAGCCTACCATATGTCTTCTCATATTCCTTTATGTTACTGAGATTGTGGTGTTACTTGATTTGTAACCATATAGCATCACCAGAAGGATATGGATGCCAAAAGGTAGACATTTATCTGAGAGAAGATTGGAATTGCTGATCAAAAGTAATACAACTCTGAACTTAGGTTATGTGTACTGATGGGCTAACTCATAATCTGGATAATATCAATTCGTTAGTCGCTTAGCTTTTCCTCTGAAGATTGCTAGCTTGATTTCTTTAGAGTACCCTTGGATGTCATTGAGAAGGTACTGTGATATTCCTGGTCAGTACCACTAGCATGTGCAAACAAGAGTATCTGGAGAACCTCACTGTCCTTAGGGAGTCACGTCTCTATTTAGACTTCATACAGAAATTCATTCCTCCATTTGGCAAGCATTTATTTATTCACCTTCTTTGTGCTAGGCAAAAGGGATACACAAAACAGAAATGAAATTGTTCCTTGCCCTCAGGGAGCTTGCATTATGTTGGGGAAAATAATTTGTACCCAGATAAGTGAATCCATAATATATAAAAGTCATTTGTGAGAAGGAGGCCACTAGCAATTGGCAGTGGGGAGAAATAAGTAAATGTTTCATGTAAGAGGTAGCACTTGACCCTTGAAGGATGATAGAGATTCTAAGGAAGCAGAAGTGAGAAGGGAGTGAACTCCAGGTGTGACAGATAGCCTTTGCAAAGGCACAGAGATAGACTGTTTTGTACGGGAAGCAGCAAGCAGGGCAGTGTGGCTGAAACTTAAAATGTAAAAGGAAATAATGGATAATAATGCCAGAATGGAAGGCTGGATCCAGATAGTAAAGGACTTCAACTACAGAACAGAGAAGTTTGTTTGTATTTTAGTATGGAGGCTTTAGGAAGCCACTGGAGGGTAGGTGTAGGAAGGACTGGAGAATGCAGAGACCTGAGGCAGAGTAACCAATTTGGCGCCCACTGTAATAGCCCAGGCAAGAGGTGGTTAGGGTCTAAGCTAAGCCGACAGCCCTTCTCCACCAGTGTAAAATACTCTTGACAAATGCCTCCCTGTTTTGTGTTTCACTTAATATTGATAATCACTGAACTTTAAATTTATGTTTGCAGGTATTTAGAAATCTAATATGATCTTAATAGTTTTATGAAACACTCCATGTTGGTAAGGTGTGAGCCTTTAAAGGTGTATTTTGACCTGCCAAATTTAATGCTTTTTTTCTGTAATGAACAAATAATAAGCACAGCAGGATTTTTTGTTCTCTACCCCCCTCAGCCAGTTGACTTACAGGGTCTTATGAAGAGGATAATCTGTAAAGGGCTGGCTGTTAACTGCTGTGGAAACCATTGTCATAGAGATGAGAAGGTGGGCATAAAGGTCAGTAGTTACTGTTGGTTGTTACTTTTTATTTGAAGTGGTAGTGAAAAAGACAGGAACTGGACCTGTAATTTCATTGGTCTAGGGAACTTCCAGGTGAGAAAACTGCCTCTCCTAATGCAGATTGGCACCTTTTCTACCCTTTAGTCTTATGGAGGGTTACCTAGAGCACTGAGAAGTGAAGTTATTTGCCCAGGATCCCATAGCCAGAGTATGTCAGAAGTAGGACTTGAACCCAGGTCCTCCTGACTTTGAAGTTACCTCTCTAGCCTCTTTGCCTCCTTTTTGGGAGTCCTATCATCCATCAGTTATTCCACTCTGTACGTTTTCTTCCCTTTGAGATATCTTAAAAACTGATCTTTGAAAGATAATAACTGCTGTTCTTCATAGCACACAAATAATCATGAAAAATAAAATTATTGGTTTTTCCCTTCATTTGTACTATACTCTGTCCAAAATTCTTCCCAAGTAAGGGAAGAGAATATTGAAAACCTATTTCCAGGTTATTTTACGGTTGGAACTATGGGAAATGCTAATAGTTGGAATCCATGGGAAAGAGTTTGAAGGCTGATGAAGGAAAAGCAACTGGAAAATGAGACAAGCTGACTCCCCTGGCCAGGAAGAATTAAATTTACTTCAGGTCATCAAACATTTATTATATGTCTTCCATGTAGAAGTCATTGGAAGGTCTTTTGAGCTTTCATTTTGTATCCCTAGCACCTTACAATTCATCTCTTACCTGCTAAATCCTGTCCTCGTTTCTGTGACGGTCCTCTGCATCTTCTGACAATCTTGACCTGCCACCCTCACTTAGATATTCTCACCTCCCCTGAATTCTGTGGTACTGCTTTCTCCAGGTTTTTCTCAAATCTGTCTTTTTTCAGCTTGTTTTGCTTTCATTTCCCCACTTCAAGCCAGACCTCCAGCAGTCATGCCTGGGAGGAGCTAAGCCACTCGGCTCTGACCTTCATTAGACTTTGTAGCATTTCCCCCCATCTTCCCCCCATCATTACTCTATTTGAACAGTCAATAAGAATTTATTAAATGCTTAACATATGCTAGGTATAGTGCTAATTAACAAGCACTGAGGACACACAGAAAGTAAAAAACACGACCCCTACTCACAAGGAGCTCATTATTATGGAGAAGACAACATGCAAACAACTATGTACATACAAGATACATTCAGTGTAAATGGGGAGATAGTATCCCCTCTGATATGTACACAGCAG